ATTATTTTAATTGAGAAGCCTCTAATTGTAGCGTCCATTTTTTATTTAGCTTTATTTCAAGTAAATGTGCTATTTGGAAATGCAAATGACGCGTTTGATTCTTTGTTTCTGTATTTCGTTGATTACTGTTTTGATTGTCTTTCATTAAGGGGATTATATTTTTAATCTATTATTTGGGACAGGCAGACAGTTCAGTTCTACTCTTCATAAACGTTATAACAGTAAAGGGAATTGCTATTGTTGTATAATAACATATAACAGCACATACAAATACATAGTAATACATAACAATTATATTTAGAACTATTATACTAAAAATCACATTCATATAAGCTCTTTCCTAAATTCAACAAATAAGATCTAATTTTTCATCAGTGTAAGCTGTAACATTAATATGTTTTAACAGTAATGTTCGTAGTTTAGGCGAGTAGTACACATTTATTAAAAACACTTTAACGATTCAAAACGCAAAATGAATTAGTTAACTTATTTGCAATTTATTTTAACTACGCCTAAATTAGATTTGACCGATGTTGTTGCAAATCATCCGAAACGTCGGCCATAGCTTAAATAAATTGTAAGTAAGTTAACAAAGACATTTCGTGTTTTGAACCGTTAAAAGTGTATTATAATAGGTATCTGTTTTATTAATTTAAATTTGCTCTAGGCTATATAATACCTACACTCGATGTTGCCGGATGTTGGAAGTTCACAAACCGAGAATTGAACTCCCTACATTCGTTTCTTAAGAATACAAATTTGATATTTCTAATTAACTGTTACGCTACTGTTGAGCATGTTCATTTGTGGTCGAATGTTTGACTGCTACGCTTTGATAGTCAGCTTAAAGCGAACGCAGTAAAGAATAAACAGTACGTATGCGCGTAACACATTACGGGCGGAGGGAAGGGGGGGCGGTCACACCCGATGCTACTTACCGTACTACGCCTACTATTTTCAATGCTTTTTTACTTTCTTTTTTACGCCATTTTCCATGGTCCGGCCGGGCGACCCGGGCCGCGTTGCTTTTTGTTTTTTTTTTTAAATCAGTAAATTGCATATTTGAAAAACTACTGCAGGCTTCGAGGGACGTCGATTGAACGGGCGCGCTTTGTGCGCGGTCAAATTTATATAAGGGGATTCTTTTATAAGACAAACATTCGACGGACGAGTGTGCTTTTACGTCTGCTTGTGTACTTACGTGTATTTGTTTCGCATGCGATGTCTGTTGGAAATTATGTATTTTTTTTATAGAGAAGACATACAGCAAGCATATAGAGGGCTGATAGAGAGTAAAATACCTCAGCCATATATAATAACTTTAATCATTTGCACTCTTGATCTATTTTGGCTTTGGACATTCGGATATCCACAGAAAACCAAAACGGAACCACCATTCACAGATAAAAAGCCTTGAAGTTTATTTACGTTTCGGTTTTAGTCTATGGATTTCCGAATATACAAAGCTAAAATAGGCCGACAGCGCATCGTGTGTTACTATTATATGGCTAGGTTATTTCTCCTTACATCAAGTGAACTTCATGCGTGTCCATCCTCTTCTATCATAAAAAAAAGGAAAAAAGAATCGCGATTAAGCTTCGAGGCATTTTCAACTGTTCCTTCATAATTTATTATTATATGTTGGTACGGTGAGAACCGCACAATAAATTACTACTATGGTTGGACATGGACATAGACTAAAGAGATATGGTTAATAGTATTAAGAACGATTTGGATAAAATGGATTTTACACTTACTGGTGTGAGTATTGATATCAACATCAATCAAGGATCTAAAGTTGATTCCCGCCACTTGCACCAAAAATTTTAAAGCTAACCAATGAGTTTCTTAACTACAAACCTCAATCACGTGCAGATATCGTACCTCCAACCTGATGACTGAAAGACTGTGAATGTCCATTCAACAGGCTAAAATCAAGTACCGTAAAGTAATTACGTAGCTAACAATGAACTTAACCGAATCTTGTCGAAAGTCAAAACTCAATGCATTAAAATTCAAATAATTGCATTACCCTAATTCGATTCGGGGGTTTTCAAAATTTGTATTGAACAATTTACTAAGCAATTGAGTGAATAATGCACTCGTGTGCTCCGCGGGGGTCCCTGCTGTGACGTCATGCGCGTGCGCATAACTGAATTCGATAATCACATTTGAGCGTACTTATTGATATGAGTAGATCGCAATTGATTTTTAAATTATTTGTCCGTTTGAAATTAACTACAAGTTAAAATTACATGTATGTATTCTAAATAAATTGCATACCAAGGGTTCCAAATTTGAGAAAAATGTATTTTATTTTAATACTAGGGCGTAAAAAAATATGACCTAGCATACGTTTTTTTTCTTTGGAAGTATTTCGACCAAAATTTGATTATCACAAAGATAAACATGTACTTTTACGGACATTGTTTAACCTCATAAAAGAAAAATTAATAAATTTTTGGGTATGAACCGTTTTTGCAGCGATCGCAACAGCAATCTCCAAAGATGAATATTTTCTCCGTTTTCCCACATTTCCCCGTCTTCACTCCTATTGGTTGAAAGCTGATGTTTTATATCCTGCATCAGGGACGGCTGATAAATTCTCCAACCAACACAAAAAATATACTATTAAATATATAGATTAGCATAAATAAGAACTCGTTTGTTTGTTTTTTACCCATTACAGTCACGATGTTGTCAAAAAATCGTCGAAAAGCCATCAAATCATTAGAACTTGTCTGTACCTACTATAATGTATTTAAGAAATATAATATCAACGTCCCAATGAATCCATCGTCTCAATTTCCGGATATATCCGGGTCGGGAAGCTAGTAGCAGCCATATTAGAGGGTAAACAAAAATACACGCTGATCAGATCTGTAATTAATTTACCGGCCGATAAACGAGAGATAATTGAAGGGAAATTACGAAATAAATGAAAAGTTATCATTGAATTTTATGTTAAATCAATGTTAGAGAGGGTTGCAAAACATCTGTCGTTTGGCTTTCATAGTATTTTATAGAGTGGGGATAATTACATCAAAAAATGATTATAGAGCTATAAGTGTTTTGGAGCAATGCGCGTGCATGGGTAGTTATTTTCTCCATTATTTCGTGAGATTTTTCATAACTTATCAGTATAAATAGCAACTCCTCATTTAAAATATATTATAAGTGTACACTATTATATCATCATAGTAAATAGGTATATCTGAAACCGTATATTTTAACGAGTCGCGGGTTCCGTCCCAGCCAGGAATTTTTTCGTTTTCTTTATAATATTTCTGAAACGTGCCGGACTTGGTCTAGAAATCTGAAAATTAAATGGGTGGTAAGAATGTCAAAGTTCCGCCCGGGTCACGAACCACCATCTGTGGAATAAAAAGCCGTCAAATTTCACCGCTTTAGTCTGTCGATTTCTGAATATCCAAAGTCAAAATCTTATTTTCTTATTTAGATGTTATTAATTATTTCCCCATGCTTATCTGTTCTGTATCATAAAAAGGCAAAGAAACCTGATCAACAACTTGCCTTTAAATAAAAATTCATCAAATGACACAGATACAAAATTCGTACTCCCAATGCCCAACGGGGAAACAGAATATCACCGAACTATGTATCAATTACAACAAATGCAATAAAAAATGTGAAAAGTCGATGGTTATAAAAATGTGTGTCGCTCCGCCAAGTTCAAATGTACCCCAATATGATATTTCGCGCCTCGATCCACGTGATTAAAGAATTTAGGCGCCATACATACGCGGGAACGTTGCGACCACACGCGTTTAGTGTATATGTAACTTTGGTTATGTTTTATGACCGCGACTGTACAATGCCATAATATTTGTTAGTTAACGAATCGTTGAGTTGATGGCATTTTTAATACCTTCCGGATTGTTTTCAAATTACCCGTTCTAATTCAAATTCAAATTTCAAAACATCGAAAAACATTACGAAAATTGAATACTTAACTAAAGTAGACAAGTCTCGTTCGTATTCAAAAATATGTAACGATCGCTGTACTTTGTTATAAAATAGAAAATGGCACCAGGAAATAAAATATTCAACTGCGAAATCGAAATCGTACTTAACCCGATTTATCAATTTTTTTTCTCGCAGGCTAATTATTATGATTTGTAGTTGCTGCACTTCAATTCGATAAAATACAGAACATAATTAAAGAGTGAAACTTAATTGCGTGCTAATTAGATTTTATTTTTACTCGCGAAGACTTATTCGACGAATGCACGTCTAAATATTATGTCATCCGTGTTTCAATTAATTTTTCTCATCCGCTGTCGTTTCGTAAACGAATCGAGTACGCGACACCGGATCTCCCGTCTGCATAATACATCGCCATACAGTGTTACTGTACGTTCGACTTTAATTATATATCTGCTACAATTTCGCCTTTTTTCGAGTATTTTTCACAATTCCTCTCCCCATCTCTCCCCGGTCACCCTACCGAATGGCCAGTTTAAAAAAATGCTTATGCGTGTGTGTAACACATCGCGTTTCGTCGTAGCCAATTACTCCCTCTCCGTGTCACAGCGCGGGTCGTCACTCGCGGTCTGAGGATCGACGCCCGACGAGAAAAAACTGCAAGACGTTAACGGTAACACGGTTAAACATTTTAATGCAATTACTGCCGTAGAATACGACAGCGGGGGACCGATAAGCCTCGCTCAACTTTTCCTGTAACAGGCTGTTATTTCACGATTTAAAATCGCTTCTCAACCCGTTAATGACGCGAGTACAAGTGCAGATCGGCGGCTCCGTTCGGCCGCGGACCAATCTATTTAATAACCCCCGCCGGTGACACCCCGCCCGGCGGCCATCGCCAATTTTAACCCCCTACACCCTAGCACCCGCCCTGAAAAAAATCCGGAGCGTTTTAAAATTAATGAGTAAAAATCTACACACACATCCGCACGGCCAAGTATGCGTGTATGCCCGCGCCCGATAATACCCACTTTGCGGCCAAATAATGAAGTGTAATGTATTCGCGGAGCCGGGCCGCTGGCGCAGCGCGCTCACACGGAATCCGTGATCGGCGAGCCTTTTCCATTAGGACCAACTATCCGAGAAAAAATGGAGTACAAATTGAAAATTCGACGGTTCGGGCGCTAATTCCGAAGCGGCGCCGCGGCACGGAGCGAACGCAGTTAGATAACATTTGTAGAGGCGGGGGGTGCGGGGGTGTCACCCCTACGCAACGCCGTTTTTATTTTGGCCGGCCTTTGCCCCCATACCCCCTTCGTTCGTCCAACTTCATCTGAATAATTACTGATTTTTTCGTGTACCGCTGATTATTTCGAATGTTATTTGCTGGTGATAATTTTTCTGCTGGACCGTTGTCCGTTTTGGTCAGCCGCCTCCTCATCTTTTATTCCGCGGCTGAATATTAAACACGAATGTACTCGATCTAACTCACGACCGCATCAGCTTTTTAGCTTGTTTCACTTTGATAAAAATATTGCATATCTAAATTCAAAATCGACCAGATGGACACTCGTGTACAAAATTGTTAATTGAAATTTTTCAAACAAAAATTACACAGACACTCATGCATTGGCAAAAAATAATAAATAACAACATGCAGGTACTTATATGACTATTATTATCAGAAAACTGCAAACTAAATTTATTGTAGAGAGAATTATACAAACGACTTATAGCTGAAATTAGTTTCCTGTATACCTAATAACCGAATGTATTCGTCAAATATATATTTAAAAAGCTACTTTCTAGTAAGATCTCAATATTTCCAATAATCTTAAAAAAGATAGTTAAACACATAACAACATTACACACGACATTTAACCGACATATTCTAAAACCTCATTTGAGAGATATGAAGTATGAAACCGCAAACATATAATGCGATCGCTAATCGAAAAGTCTAATTATTATGCTTATTCGACAAGTGACAAGTCGAGCCGATGGCGATCGCTTTGGCAAGGATTTCGGGCGACCGCCCACCACCCCGCGGGGCCGCATTTTTTTCCGGCCACCACTAAAGGGGTTGATTTTTTAAACTGATGACGCGCTTTCATTCCGCGCTGTGCAACTCGGCGCGCGGCTGTATGTGTGCTCGTTGATAAATAAATAAAAAATAAAATAAAAAATACGAACGCGCCGATAGTGCCCGTGTTCCCCTTACTCCGCGATATCTAACTTTCAACTAAACTTTTGTGCGCTCGCAACAGTGTTATTCTAATAACTTTTTAATTGTTCCACTCTAAAAGTATTCCTTTAATCACGCGTTAGATAGGTTATCGGCCGGTGGTGAGTGTAAGCGCTGAATAATTTTGAAGTTTCGGCAAAGTTCAAAGTTTTCGGCGGCGGCACGTGTTGCGGAAAATTCGGAAAATCTCGCCAACAATGCAGCGTGTTACGGAAAAAGTGTAGATACTGAAAACTTGAAATAACCTAATAATTACATTAAGCGTGGGGAGAATGACATTGTCCTTTGTAAGTACAATTTGAAATTACGCCGTTTGATTAAAAGATATATTTGTATTGTTCATACATTTTAGAACAAAGAAATTAAATTAAACATTTATACAATTATATTTTTAATTATATACCTACTTTATTCAGAACTTATAACAATTTGTTTAAAAAACGACGTACAAACAATTTCTCTATTTTGCATTCGAAAAGTGTTTGTCCATGTTTATAAAATGTAAAAACTAACGAATATTAAAATGTATCTTAATTATTTTTTAAATTAATAATACTTATCATTATAATTGAACATACTGCAGATATTTGAATATTATTAATTAATTTAAAACCATTAATATATTATCCTCTTATGTAACCAACAACACTTAGACTGTTTAATTAAAAATCACACATAAATAATATTTATGCATGATTAACTTTTAGACAACAATATGCTTTATTATATTTCCAAGGCTAATATTAATTATAGTTAATAGCAGCAATCATTACCTATTATAGATATTACTCGCCGTCGATAAAATTTTATCTTAATTTCCTTAATTATTATTTATCAATTTCAAGCTTAAATACCACATTTAAACGAACTATAAAATTAAGAATGCGGAATTTTTTAATATAAGATGAGGCTAATATAAAAAAGACGCGGTTTACTGTGTTTTGAAATGTACCGCTGATAACATATAATTATTCTATATTTATTTTTATTATTATTCTTATACAATAGAAAATATGAATTTAAATTTATTTTAATTCATTTACACATACAATATAAGATTATTATTTATACCGGCAATTTATCTATTACTGCATTTTTTTTTTAAAACAACCATGCCGAGATGACATAAAAGTTTAACGAAGCATATTTGCAAAGTGTGTGCAAAGTTTTGTGATCTAAGAATGAAAGTTTGTGAAGGAACTAAATGCGTGTTTCCTTTGTCAGCAGGCGGAGTCGGACCGGGAAAGTGGCGCGAGTTCGCCGGAAGGCGGAGGGCCGCGCGCGCAGGTAGCCGAGCCTAGGACGCCGTCGCCCCGCGAGCGCACTCCTCACCAACCTCACTTGAATGGCTCCAGTGAGTTCGTACTAAATGCTTTTTTATAAATAGATATAGTTTGTAAATTGTAAATTTATACTGATATTAAAAAGCAGAAAAGTCTGTTCATAATCGTTATCTCAGGAACTACTGGTTCGAATTGATTTCGTGTTGATTGGAGGATTTATGGAGGAAGGTATAACATCACGCTACGACCAATAGGAGCGAATAAACAAGGAGTAATATAGGAAGAACGGGGAAAGTTATGTCATGTGTGTTATCTTTAAACGTTTCCGTTGCTGGTGTGAAAATGGTACTATATTACAAAAAATATGTATGGAAGAATGATCCCTATTTAAAATTATTAAAAAAAATATCCCGGACTATATATCTATATTTTAAGATCAACTCGCAAGAACGACGACTTGTGGACGACGTCATGTGTAATAGCTACAATTTAAAAAATAAAGGTGTTAATTTGATTCCCAAAAATAACTATTCTACGCGGACAAAGTAGCATAGCCAGTAGATACATATATAATACACTTAGAAATAAATAAGAAAAAAAAAACAAGTCAATAGAATTAAAAATACTTCAAATAACTTAAAAAATATATATATCTAATAAAAAAAAATATATAAATATTAATTCTTAATATTGTCACGTTAACGCGATAAAAACCATTTATTATTTAAGTTCTCTAATCAAGTAGTCTAAGGACTATGACCCTTTAAAACGTAGTACCAAACTATCGTCTAATCTTGGTTATAATTGAGACACACTTTCCCTAACGGTACTTCTTACTAGAACTCGTTACTTGTAACTAAGTACTTGTACCGAAATGTTAAAACCGTTAACAATTTTCGTGGTACAATGGAAATTAAGCAGTTGCTATTAAAATAACACATCTCAACACTATACACATTTTAAATAAACGATTCGTTCTACAATTGTTTTATAAACTTTCTAAAAATCATAAAACTAGTAACTAGCTTTGTAAAAATTCTTGCTTTTCATTAAATCCGCTATTCTATCGAAATAAGTAAGCTTTAATATTTGCTTTTATGTAATTTAGTATAAGTCAAATATTGAAGAAACATAAAAACTATTTCTATATTTATCAAATGTTTTGCATAGACACCTTTTTAAAATATTTTAAAGTACACTTAAAGCTGATTTAGAGTATACATACATTTTGCGGACTACATAAATTTTTCCTATTAAAAAATCTTTACATTCTTTCCATTAAATTATTATTTATATATACATTATCACAGTCTTAACGTGAACTTTTGGTTCCCCAGTGGCATCGATGTTCCAAAACCTTCAAAATCTTGCGAACATGCAGCAAGGCATGCCGATATCGCAGCAGCAGATGTCCCAACAGATGTCGCAGCTGGCTGCAAATCTTCAGGGCCTCACTTCCATGCCCAACCCTGTCATCAACTCACCTCTGAATTTGAGCGTGAGTGCGCCAGGTAAAAACTTTACAAGTACATATTAATTTCATGGTTTCAGGTATTGGTGTTAAGTCAGCGCTGGACGTTTTATGAAGAACCTATACTTAAATAAAACACTTTAACGGTTTAAAACGCGATATATTAGTTAAACTTATTTGGAAATGATTTTTAACTTCGGCCCGACGTCTCCCCGTGACCACGGCTGCTGCAAAGCATCCGAAACGTCGGGCCGAAGTTAAAAATCATTTCCAAATAAGTTTAACTAATATATCGCGTTTTAAACCGTTAAAGTGTTTTATTTAAATGTGTACTACTCGCGTAAACTATAGACAGTATTTAACTTATACTTAATTTTATTGATCTATACATAAAACTAACTGTTAATAAATGCTCTTTTTATATATTTTATTTATTTAATACACCAAGAGTTACAAGTACAGAAGAAACAAAAAAATATATACTAATATATAAAGCTGAAGAGTTTGTTTGTTTGTATGTTGGGACGCGCTGATCTCAGGAACTACCGGTTCGAATTAAAAAAATATTTTTGTATTGGTTACAGCATTTATCAAGGAAGGATTTATCTATTATCTTTTAACACATCGTTACTATTTCGTTACCTTGTTACAAGCAAAGATACAGCGAGAACTGTGCAACTAAGTTTATAAAGATGAAGGGATTTGCAAAAACGAATTTGGATATCCAAAATAACAATTCTCGCGGACGAAGTCGCTTACACAGCTAGTAGTAAAATAAAATGCATTCTGTACCCTTAAAATTACTTTCTCGTGTTCAATTAAGGGCAGCCCAAAATGTTTTATTATACACGTAGATACGTTTTATAAACCTTGTCGCATAGTATCTACAAAGGTACCGTGCGCATACAAAAACTTTTCAGTTGATTGCAAAATCCCATAAATACGTATTCGAGCGCGGAGCTGAAAATTTAGAAACTCTCAATTGAATTAAGTTAAATCTATTCTAGCTCTCCGCTACATTATCACACCCTTGCACTTCGCAGATCCTATTTCAGTAAAAACAGCCTTACCTCGCCTCTTAGGTTCCGCGTCGAATAGCCCACTCTACGAGGGTTAACCGCTAATTAGACAGATTGCCATAATAAACGGGACACGGTTTGTGCATTAAAACTTTTAACTTGAAAATCACGATATAATTAGGTGATTATCGAAACAGATCGATTAAACCAAGAAAGCTCCCCACCCATCAAATCTATGGCGTGATGAAAAAAGCTATTTAAATTAAGAGTGTAGTTACATTTTGACGGGTTGGTCTAATGGTAGCAATGTTGCTAATGGACAGGACGTGGGTTCGATCCCCACCGGTCCAACTGTTAATTTTATAATTTTTAAATTTATAATTTTCTGAAAATCTGAATATTAAATGGGTGGCACGTCCATAGATAAAACCCCGTGAAGCTTAATCGCATTTTGGTTCTAGTCTGGCATTTCCGACTATCCAAAGCAAAAATAGGACGACAGCGCATCTTGTTTAGATGCTATAGGCCGATGTATATCACCTACCATCAAGTGAACTTCATACTATGTCTGTCCTTCTCTATCATTAAAAAAAACATATTTTTTCACGCACGGCTCCACCGCGGTATCATTAAGAGTTTTATTCTCTTAATAGACCTAATTATACATTTTTTTCGGTAATTAATAGACACGCTGTAGGAGAGAGGCATTTATTACGAAATGTGAAATGTCATGGTTTAAATGAATACGTTATGTTAATACCGAATTTGACGTTAAGGCATGCACTTAATGTTTCTTAGATTTTTCGTTTTGTTCGCGTTGAATTAGTCTCGCTCGGTTGCCGATGGTTTTCGTGTGGATCCCCTTACGTTTTATTGTCTACGAATCGATTGGCATTTGTGATTGTATTATTTTATTGTTTATAATTATAACGAGTGGAAAGTATCGGCTCGATTGTTAGCACCGTGTCTGATGGGTACCGCTATATAGACGTCATTCGATTGAATAATTAAAATTTAAGTACATGGTCAGGTATGGTAGGCACAGGTTGCACAATTAAACAATTTTTGCATAGCAGAAACTCGATTTTAGATACGGTATTGTAAAGAAACGGTACTTTGATTGTATTTAGCAGTGTTTTGATGTTATGAATTTTATTGTCTGTTAACAATGCGGATAATCGGAGGTTGAAGAGCTGTTGAGATTTTGCAAATATGTTATGTAAATAGCTTATTTGTTAACGTCGTTTCGCTTACGTTTCTTAAATTCAATAGATAAATGATAATATAATAACTCGCATATTGAATACAAAACATAAGAACAACGCTAACATTCAAATTCAATTCATTAATTCAAAGACATTTGTTTTTGAGGTTGCTTAAAAGACTTTTCTTGTTCAGGAATGGGATCACCAAACCCAGTGAGCAACAACAACATGTTACCACCAGCAATGCCTTCACCCATGCCTCAACTTATCCTCGCTTCAGGCCAGCTGGTGCAAGGAATCCAGGGTGCGCAGCTACTCATACCAACATCTCAAGGTGAGATTTAGACAAGACTTATTGTTAGTCAAATTAAAAAAAACGACTAAACAAAATATGTAGATTCGCCATTTTATTATAATAAATACATCCTCTAAGTCTTAAACATAAGACTTTGCCGGTTTAAAACAAGGTTTATTAGTTAAACTTATTTAAAAAGTATTTTAACTACGACCGATGTCTAGCCCGCTAGCGCCATCTGTTCCGTCGTAATCGGTGCAAACGCGAAGACAACGTTAGTCAATGCAAAAACCCGGAGTTTCGCCAAATATCAACTACAATGGAACAGATGGCGCTAGTTTAGCAGTTTTTACCTTGACATCAAAGATCTTTAGTCTTCCCGTGCCCCCGGTGCTGCAAAGCATCCGAAACTTCAGGCCGTTGTTATTTTTTTTAAATATAAGTTTAACTAATATATTTCGCACTTTAAACCGTTATAATATTTTATTTAAACTCTAATTAATTAAAAGTAAACATTTTCTCTTATCACATATAAAATATACCGTTCTTCAACAGGAATCGCAACACAAACCATCCTTACCATACCCGTTAATCACGTCAACTCCAACGACCAGATGGTGAACTTAGCACTCAACAATGGACAAGTAGTTTCCACGTCCCTCGCCAACCTGCAAGCGATGGCCCAGCCCCATCAGCTCCTAAACTCTAACCAGCAACAAACGCCAAACATTCGACCGAACATGCTAAACTCATCCTTATCAAACGCGCTACTAAATCCCGGCCTGCCAAACTTCCTGACGAACGGTGCAAATAATGCGCAAGAGTTGCTCCAAGCGTTACAACAACCGCAGGGCAATCACAACCTTCTGCAGACGGTACAACAGAACAACATGCCACAGCAGATGCAAGGTAGACGGTCGTCTTCGCCCAGACCCGATAGGCATTATAAGGAGAGAGAAAACTTTGAAAGATTCGCTGGAGGATCTAGGGAAAGGAGTGAAAGAGATAATGCAGGTGCAACAGCAATGAACAGTATTAATAGGTGAGTTAGTACATTATGTAAGATTTTAAATTAAGACACACGGCACTTCTTTTGATGCTAGGTGTGCCCACGACGTCGTCCGCGTACCGTCGTTTTTAGGAGTTCATCTTTAAAGATAGGCGTATACTGTCGCGGACATTTTTTTATTTTTTTTTTTTTTTTTTTTTTTCTTCATCATGGTCCGACCAATACAAAAAATAATTTTTCAGTTAGTTTCTAAGATTACCGCATTCAAGCCAACAAACAAACTCTTCAGCTTTACATATTATAATAGTATAGATATGTTTCAATAGATACATACAGCATAGTAAAAAAGTAATGCAAAAAAAATAGTACTTTAAGTCTCAACATCTTATTAAAAAAAATAATTAATGCTAAGCATAAAGAATAAGATAAACTTATGAATTCGTTTTGGATTTGATTAACTTACTAAAAAGCATTACGCACTTGAACCACAATTTATTTATTTTATTTATATAACTTTATTATTTACAAACACCACAATTTACTTAGTTGTTGGGGCGAAACACTGTCCTTTTTTATATTGATAAATTTGATCAACGGCTGTCGATTTGCGCATATAAATATTCAACTAATTGCGCAGTTTTTACCCCAATTTCACCAATATTTTATAAATAAGGGTGCACACGAGTTTCGGTAATAAAAACCACTCGATATAAACCAAACCTTTCAGATGCACGCTAATGAAACCAATCAAAACTAAAACTTTTTTCTGCCTAAACTTAACGTTAACGTATTAAATATTTGCCGGGCACTTTGAATATTTTCAACGGAAACGGGATATCGAATCGTTGAAATCCATTCGAGCACTATCGCCACTATTAATACCAACTTTCCCAATGCTTAACTGCCTATGTAAATTCCCGAAGCTCCGTTTTTGGGGCATGGGGCAGACCTTATACTGCGTACGTTTGATGTACTTTAATTACAGACAAGAAGTTTAAAATAAAACACTTTAACGGTTTAAAACGCGATATAATAATTAAACTTATTTGAACATGATTTTTAACTTCGGCCCGACGTTTCGGATGCTTTGCAGCAGCCGTGGTCACGGGGAGACTGTCTCCCTGTATCCATGGATTCGAACTTGTTAGCTTGTCCGTTAGCTTAAAGCAATGTAATCTCCTCTAATATAAATTTGACACTTAATACTTGTTTTGCTATATCACAATAAATATAACAGTATTCAAACGAATAAATACTTGAAAATGATAATATGAACTAAAAATTAATATAATATATATGGGAAATAGTTTGGGAGGAATATAAAATTTTGTATTTTTTTTTCTTACAAGAAAAACATTTCGAATACCAAATATTCTAACAATAAATCAATACAAATTAACTAATATTTTTTGAGTTTTGAAACCGTTTAAAGTGTGAATTAAATAGAGATATAAGATTGGAAAAATTTCAAGACACGGGCAGGACTTGAACTGGCATCCACAGCGTTCCGAGCGTTGCTCTAACAAACTGCCTTACCGGTCTCAGATTTAATGAGTTTTTTCAACTATTGACACATTGACAACATTTTATCGATGGATAAATTTGACGTGGGTGCAATGACAAATGTTACTTGTAATTACGTGACAATGAGTGTAATTAGAGAGCCTGCATATGTGTGCGTGTGTGTGTTTAATCAACGGTTACTAGTGTGGGCATTAAATGGAATTTGAAAGGGTCTGCGAATTACGTCTTTGTGTGGCAAATACTGTAGTTTCTTGCTCATTCATATTCTGCTGCATAGGAACTCATTTGGGCTGTGGATGATGCAGAATTTAGACAATACTGATTACTGGACTTCACTCGTGCAAGGGTCGTATTACGGCTTAGAATGAACCTCGAAGCAGAATTACTTATTTCTTGTTATAATTCTTTTAGTCATTCATATTTATCCGTAGCACACTTGTCACTAGAAGTCCGCCCCGCAAAAGTAATACATTTTTACAAAATTAGCCCCCTGAAATATAAAAAAAATAAATAAGGGGACCAAATTAAAGAATACTTTTACGAAGAAAATTCGAATATTTTTAAAATAAAATACCCACCTTATGTTTAGCGGAAGTAGTATTTTCTATCAGGGTGTTTCAAATCCGTCATGAATTCTACTTATATTCCGTATATTCTTCTTAATAATATTAGAGTAGATAATCTATTTATTCATAATACAAAGTATCGCCTCTAATGGATAATTATATGCCAGCTGTACTAAACTTACGAAACTGATTCAATTAATATTTAAGTGGTATAAAAATAAACAAATTAGTTCTTGTTTTTTGTAAATATCAAAGATGTGTAGTTATGAGGCCCCCCCTTTACCTTTCATTCTCTTCTTTCAAAGTCTCTCATGTTGTGTATCCTATATTATTTATCTGAAACCACTTACAATAATAAAAAAAATCTTAATTTTACAAAATTTTTCCAGTACCTACTCAATTTGTAAAACAACACAACCTAGATTAAGTTTAACAAATTACAACAGTGCCCTAAACCTTTAGTTAAACTTTTTGGTAAATCATACACTCAACCTGCCAGATGTATAATATATACTTAACTTCCCATCAAATGAATCTCTATACTTGTGTTTTCTTTTTTCCCCTCTCCCAAAAAAAAAGCTGTCAGTTGTAGGTTTTATAATCTCTTTGCATTGTATGTTATTATGTCCATATTTATATAACATAAAGTATTGTTTGCCAAATTTCAATTTAACACGACTGATCTGTTGCAAGGAAACAATCAAGGTAACAAAAAAATGGGTAATTCCAGGAAAAATGCTACACAAATGCAATTTCAAAGCAGAAGCCTAAATTTTTAAGCCATGTCAATTATGAATTGAAAGACAAGTGACATGCGACTGAATTATTAGCATATTCATTCAATTTAAACGAAATTCTTGATCATATCAACCGACTACACTTGTTACTTATGAAAACTACAACATTATTAACGCGCAAGGAATTTTATTACTTCCGATAGATAGAGACGCTTTTTGTTGCCACATTTTGAAATTGTTTTGCATTTTTGTGATTTGTATCTTTTCCGTCTTTCAATGTAATTAATAAATAGTCAATTTTAAAATACTAGCTTACTTGGCAAATCGTAAAACTATATGAAGTTTTCGAAATACTGTTACCAAATTTGATTACCTAAGCATCGTTTCTTGTAAGTTAATCTTAAAAGATAGACATATAGTGGCCTTACTTTTAGATTATTCAGAGCGGAATAATTTTCTCCGAAACCGTCAAAAATGCATATTTTCCCCATTTCCCCTTCGTTTCATGACTCCTATTGGTTGCATCGTGTTGTTTTATAGCCTAAAGTTTTCCTCGATAAATGCTCTAATCAACAGATTTTTTATTTCTATACGAACCAGTAATTGCTGAGAAAAGCGCGTTCAAACAACTTCTTCAGCTTTATATATAAACCGAAGGTAAACTTAAGAAAAACTTATAACAGGGACTCGAACCCTCAACCTTATTATTCTGTGCTGTTATCAATTCAGCTGACGTTTTTTGGGAAACTGAAAGAATCTACAGACGTCTTATCTCCTTCCTTTCTCTATAAATTTGTCTTTGAAACGACCCCACAGAAAACTTTTTTATGTCACAGTTGAAACGGTAGTTCGCTCGAAACAAGAAAACGGTCATGTTGCAAAAATAATTATTTGTAATCAGCCGTTCGTATCTTGACGCCGCGGTCGTAATAAGGAAAAACCGAGTCGCTCCACAATTATCTATCATAATGAGGTATTTTATGCTAATTATAGACAGGATGTTCTTCGCTTGATATAATTACATAATCTACACGAATCATTTTCTGGTTATGATCGTGCGGAAAAGCACAGCGGTTGTAATTGTCACTGTACGATGTAGTTAGTCAATTCTTAGTTCCAACGAGGGTTCGAGGTTGGTACTAGATTTTACTATACTGATCATAGATTTCCATTCTCATAGGAGGAAATATTTATAAACTTTATTATTTTTCACACGTTATTACAAGATGGCATTGTGTAAAGTGCATGTATCAATAAGTTAAATTCGACATTGGCGTGTAGGATTCGGTAGCGCCGTTGGTTAAAGCCACGGAACGCTGTGGATGCCGGATCAAATCCTACCCTTGTCGTAAAATTTTTCAATCCAAATTGATCTCTAAAGGATTAAGAGCTTCTACCTAATATGCTGCCCTTGTGTAAGTCGATTGGATATAACAACTATTGCCACAAATTTTAAGATTATAACCTGGACATATTATCTCTTCTATCCACAATTCAAACCCCAGACCTCGGTACAAACAGTCGACTGTTGTCTAAACTTGAGACTTTTTACTACTTAAATACATAGAAAGGAACTATATTGTAACCAAGGATGTTAGTTTACGTCAAACTTAACTTTTTAATGTGGTCTTTGCTGGCTTAAAGATAACACGGAAACAATTCTAGTCACAAGTGATGTGTTTTTCATTCTTTGATTCCTAATTTTGTGTCCAGCAAAGTTTAATACGTAAACTATAATATGACCTTAACTGGGTAAAAATGCTTAAACGCCAACAAACATACGTCAAACATTACCAACTAAAAACATCTTCATACAATTTGTATAACTGTGTACGGCTCATTATATCCATTTAAGATTTGTTGTAGACTTTTTATCACTCACAAGAAACTAATATTTATTCACAGTTTAATTGACTACCTATTTTAAATTAATGCAATCAGTCTCGCTATACAAAAACACGGCGGAAATATCTTTATAATTTTCAAAGAGCAAGAGTGAATTATCCTCGGTACAACTCATATAATGGTACTTAATGTATTAAATGTTATCAAATGCCACTCCAGTTAATGCAATTAAACACACATAATTATCCTTAGTAGAAATACTTGTTTACAATCTAATATAACTTGTTTCTTATCGAGATACGCGTGTTTTAATAAGGACAAAATCAAGGATTCATTAGTTATTTTTCGTAATTATTATATT